ATGTTCCAGCAATGATTGCACAGCTTCTACAACCATTTCCGAGTTGAAGAGTTGAAAAATAACGGCCAGAGCACATGAAGGAGTTTCACCATCTGCCATGGTAATAAGCTGGCATACTACTGGTAAATAGGAGTAAAAGTATACACTTTTCTCAGTACTTTTAGCAAAGAATGCTCCTACTTTGGCCATGTCCTCCTTGAAACGCTTTAAATCTTCGGGCGATTGACGTGGAAATTGAACACGTGCCAACTTAACAATGAGATGCTGATAGATTTTAAGCATTTCCTTGCTTAAATCTACCTGTTGTTGTTTCATCTCAACCAAATCGATCCATTGCAAGATGTAAGAAATGTCATTGTTTTGGGCTGAAACATTTGCTGCCCCGGATCCAATATTAGAGGCAGAAGACATTACTTTGGCTTTAGACGAAGCTCCTGTCGAACCACTACACCCGGGCAAATCTGCATTACCGCTGGGTCCTAAACCAACACCAGACGCCAAGGCGCCCGCACCCACTTCACCATTGGGGCCGTTTGGATTCATTTTCTTTGATTTTGTAATGGTTCCGGTCGATTTTACTCCATTGCCGCCATTTACTTGATTAGCATCTGCTGAAGAACCGTTCCCCTCGGTATTGTTCTGTTTAACAGCCATATCCGATTACCCTTTACCAAACTCGTCCGTTTAAAAAGACGAGTATTCGAAAGTAGCGTTTTGGGTCTTCAGACGATTTGGTCTCACTTTTTTATCCGCTTTTACTTCCTGCACCCGTTAATAAATAATCCACAAAATATATTAAAAAATTGTTGTCTGCGTTTACCGTCAACGCTAACGACGACGAGGTCGTCAAGTGTCCTTGATTTTCGTGTGTTTTTGTTGCAAAAATCTTACGTTTGTTGCACTCTTTGACTTTTAATAAGAACAATGATCTTGTGTTTCTGTTCTTCCTCTTTTTTAACAACTTTTTTAAAAAATTAATAGAAATTTTGTGGCAAATCTCTCTTATTCTGCTTGATTTTACAAAAATTATATGTGTATATATTTTTTACGCCTTTCGTTTTTTCTTCGAATCTTTTTTTTTTTTTTTTGCTACTGGCTGCTGTCTGTGCTTTATTTTTTCTATGTGTCTTTTCTCACTTTTCACTTTAATGTCGAAATTGTTTGATTTGAAGTTAATTTTCAATATATTTCTCAAATTTTATTGTTTTTCTAGTTTATTTAAATATTTGTTCTTTAAACTATGCAATTTTTTCTCGTTTTTGGTGAAAATTTTTTGTATTGTAAAATGTCTTTTACAAAAAATGTGAAGAAGAACAATAGGAATGACGAAATAATTGACAGTTGTTTTTCTTTTTTGTTTTTGTTGCAAAAGAGAATGAGAAAAGACGTGTTGCCACATTTATGTTATCAAAATGTAAAACATAAGGCCCTTTCGTTGATAATTTCACCCAGCGGTAAAAATACACATTATGTACTCGCTTATCTATGTGATATTTCGTGGCAGTCAGTGGTGATGCTTTCACTTATTCTTCCACTTAGATTTAACATAAAAGTGTCCTAGGCTGCCTCATCGATGTGCTCTCGCTTAGAATGTAAGCCACAATATCATTAAGACAAATTAAAATTTCACTTACATAATGTGTGGAGTTCTAAGCGAAGTTAATGAGAATCCTATAAATGCTTGCAAATAAGAATGTAATGTATGTAGATTACAATCCTATTTGCTTTTGTAAGTTAAAGTACCACGTCTTCCGATTTTGTTATAGAAAAAATATATATTTTTTATATTTATTTTAAAATTATGCAAGTTTATTTAAAAATGATCATCAAATAATAAACATGTATTATGGTTAATTCAATAAAAATATAATTAAACAATTTTAACGAAGATAAATGAAATTAATCTTAATTTTCTTTTGAAACTTTCGGTCATCTTCCTTTAGAGATACCGTAAATAATCAAGAGGAAATTGTCAGTATTAAAATTAGAGTATATGAAGTAAATTTACCCCAATTTTTAAGTCCGTTTCTGCCATTTAGATCACCACAATTATTTTAAATTTTTACAATAAAATAACTTTTTTAACAAAACACAATGTCACTTGCAAAAGATCAACTTTAAACTGAAACAAAAATATTCTTCTTTTCATGTATGTAGTATACAAAAGAAAAATAAAACTGTACTTTTGTTAAGTTTTTTTTTAAGAAATAAAAACAAAAAACAACATGAAAAAGGCAGCTAACTCTCTGCTTAAATCGTAATCTATGTTATAATTAAAGTGCATGATATGTTGGATTACGCATATATTGCACTCTAAGTACTTAGATTGCTCGCTTAGAACGTCATACTGATGTCATCGAATATTATCTAAGTACTTTGTTTCATTTACCGCTGGGCAGTTTTCTTATACTACGTTCACACCTTCAGGTTTTTAGAAAACACTTTAAATTCGTCTTTTCATACAATTTTTAATTAGGATGCACTAAGTAAGGTGAAATAGTCAAGGCAGCTAATTTTTATTAGTTTATTTAAAAAGTGCTTGGGTTATGTCAAAAATAATTTATTTTTATTTTAACATAACAATTAAATTTGCGTTTTCAAACGAAAAATTTTAAAACAAAAATTATGGATGAAAATGTTGATAAAAGGGTTCCAAATGAAGAAATTCAGATGAAGCAGCAATAAGACGTTGTCCTGCTGCGAATACAATTTAAATGTAACGACGTTTTTATAGGTAATATTATGAAATATGCAAAAAATGTTCTTTCCAATATTAATTATTTTTCAATTTTAGAAATATCATTTTGACAAAACCTATACTCTAAACAACAACAAAAATATTGTGTTTGTTACCCAAACGCTCTCACCTTACTTATTACATAATGGTTTTTAATGTTCAAAAACATTTCAATTCTAGGTATTTAACTATTGACCAGAGACAGTAATTGTTATTATTTTTATTTAAAAAAATTAAAATTACAAATTTTATTTGGTTTGTATTTTATTTCTCAGAAAATACAAATTGCTTTTGATTTGAATTTTTTATATTTTTCGTAAAAATTACTGAGAAATTTTTCAAATAAAGATCAATAATAAAAAACAAAAATAATTTTTAAACCATAAGGCACAAATAAAAATCAGGCAATGATTTTTATTTTTTGAAATTAATTATAAAACTCATTATGCGATATTTACCTTTAAAACACATTAAAAATGATCGGGTTTAAAGAGAGATTAATAGAAAATTGGTAAAATTTCTTTACCACTGATATCATCGACCAAATTTGCAGAAATTGTGCAGAAATTAGATTCGAAAATTGGAAAATTAATATTTTTTAGGTGATTTTTATTCTTTGCTTTGAAAAATAAAAATCATTGATTGATTTCTATTTTTTGTTTGAATAAATAAAAGTTACTGAATGAGTATTATTAAAAACAACATAAATAATTTTTTAATGAAACAAATAGAATAAAAATCAAAAATAATTTTTATTTTCAATTTTTATTATAAAAATCAAGAAAAGAAAGTTTATTGAAGAAATCGATAAAAAAGGTCTGGGAAATATTTTGGTACATTCAAAACATTTCTAGGACGATTCTTTCATAATGATTTTTTTAACCAAAAATTTCATAGATAATAATTATTTTCTGTCTCTGCTATTAACATTTATTATAAAGTATTTAGATCAGGAATAATTTTGTTCGTACTTTGGTTAAAGGAAACAACTACACCATTTCAAGTTTAATTTGAGAAAATCCAAAGTTATATTGTGAAACACCAAAATTAATTTTAGAAATCCAATTTAATATTGAGACATACCAAATTAAATTTAGGAATCAAAATTGATATGAAGAAAAAACAAATTGAAATTTGAATTTTCAACTTAATATTGAGAAAAAACCAATTGATATTGAGAAGTCGAAATTAATATTAAGATAATACGAATTGAAATTGACAAAATACAAAATTATATTAAGAAAACCTAATTTTGTATTGAAATTTATATTATTTTAAATCCATATTCTATTTAAACATTTTATAAGAAAAATATTTTCATACAAATTTTAAATTTCTCATTTTCATTTATTAATTTCTCAATTTCAATTTGTAATTTCTTAATATAATGTTGGGATTTCAATTGTTTTTTCTCGATATGAATTTGCATTTCTTAATTTAATTTTATTATTTCTCAATATTAGTTTGGATTTCTCAATTTCAAATGGGGTTTTCTCAATATTAATTTATATTTCTGAACTTTAATTTGAATTTTCTAAATTTTAAATTGAAATTCTCAATATGAGTTTGTATTTTCTCAATTTAAACTTGAAATGGTGTAGAACAAAAATTTATGTCAAAAAGAAAAATATTAATATTATTTAATAAATAATTTAATTTATTATTAATTATTTGAAATGTGCATATTGTTTGGAATAGAAATCCAATTTAATATTGAGAAATATATTTTTAAAATATTGAAAAAACCAAACTGAAATTCAAAATTCCATATGTGTATATTGAGAAAAAGTATATAGAAATCGCAAATAATATTGAGAAACATTCAATATTAATTTTATATTTAAAAACGTTTTTCAATACATTTTACTTCTCAATTCGAGGTGTTTAATTATAAAACTCATAATCATAGGAAAACACAAAATGATCTAAAAGATCAGGAATATTTTTTTTTCATACTTTTGTTTAAAGAACACAGCTAGAACAAAAAGAAATGTCAAGATAAAATTGAAATAACATAAGATATTCAGTTTTTGTTTAAAAGAGTTTAAAATGTTTTAAATTAATAAATAATTAAGAAGAGTTTAAAAAACATGACTGTGTGAACTTAAAATCCAAGCCTTTGTAGTCTCGAAAATCAAACCTCAAAATTACGACTTTTATCAGCTATTATCAACCCTCAGGATTTATAAAAATCTGGCAACTTATAATTTATATTTCCTTATTTCTATTATTTTTCTTTGTTTTTTTTTTATCTACTATTTATGTTTATTTTGTTTTATTCTTATAATTCAGTGTATGCGTGTGTTTTTTGTTTTCTTTTTGCTCATTCACAAAAAACGCAAGCAAATTAAAACATTACCATTTCGGAACAAAAATTTATTGTTTTATTTTGAATTTAATTTATAATTAAAAAACATGACAATCGATCCAAATATGATAGAAGTTAATGAAATCACAGATTATTGGTCATTTTTAATGAGTGTAAGTAAAAATAAAATGGAAACGTATTGAAAAATAAATGTTGGAAATCAATAACATATTATTTATTTACAGATTGATTGGCGAGATCCTTGGTTAATCGGTTTGATTATATTACACATTTTGACAACAACCACAACCTTGATGACACGAAATAATACCAACTTTCAAATATTTTTATTCCTTATATTGCGTAAGTTGTAAAAATGTCCATACATATATTTTGATGAAGAATTTTCATAGTTTACAAGATAGCTATGTACATACATATGAGAAATATCAAGACTTAATATCAAGAAACTTACCAACCGGGAATAGGTATTGAGTCGTATTTCTGGAAATATGTAGTAATGAGTCTGGTATCGGACAGATTTTTTTATGTACAGTGCAGGAATTTTGATTATTATATGCAACTAAGGGAATATAAAAAATAAATAAGTGTTCCAATTTAAGAGATTATACTATATATAATATCTACTTGATGATTTGTGGCTACATATTATATCTAATATTTTACTTATTGTTCTATTCCAGTATCTGCAGTTTACTTTTCGGAGTCGATAAATGAATATGCAGCCTTAAATTGGCGTTCCTTTTCAAAACAACAATACTTCGATAGTAATGGACTGTTTATATCTACAGTTTTCTCTATACCCATCTTGCTCAATTGTATGCTATTGATTGTAAGTTTGTTTGTTTTAAAATGTTACTATTTATTTAAACTTTAATGAACTTGTCTGTTCTTTATCTTTCTAGGGTGCCTGGTTGTATAATTCCACAAAAATGATGGCTACACTAAAGACTGCACAATTAAAAGATAAAGTTAGAAGGGAACGTTTAAAGCAAAAGGCCGAGGCGCATCTTAAAGAACAATAAGAAAAATATATCAAATATAATTACAATTCCTATTATATGTACTTTCCTTTTAAATTGTTCTCTATAAATGTACACATTTTTTGCAGTGTATACTTAATTTGTAATTTAATGTTTATAAATAATCCAAGATTTTTTCTTGTTTATTAAAGTTATAAAAATATGCCTTTTTATATATGTATATAGTATACCCTCATACATTGTTTATGTGAAAGATTTTCATAGCATTAACATTTTCTTAAATATATATATTTTCTCTGTTTCTATACAGGAAACAAATTCGCTTTAAAATTAATAATATTATACATCACTAATTTTAAATATTTTCATTTTTTACGGGGTTAAAAATGTGATTTATAAAGACAATTTTTTGTTTTTTAATGAGCGCCGAATTTACTTTAAAATTATTTTTTATAAAATGCCATACAAAATCATTTGTTTATTATATACTTGTTTAAATAATTAAAAAAATAAATACAATATAAGTATATATCAAAAGAAAAGAAATATAGATAAATATAAAATCACTAATAATATGAATTTTTTTGTAATTTCTTGCCTAGATAAAAAGTTAAAATTATAATAATTTGGCCCCTATAGATGTGTCTAGGTTATTTCATATATTTTAGCCTTTTGAAGAATGAATCTGATTATACTGTTTTTGATAAAAACTAACAGAGATGCCCAGAGCAGATCCCATTTTGGCTAGCTCATCTGCCTGTCCATTTCCATAATAGTCCCAGACGTGAGTTAAGAGAAAGAAGTGCCGCTTAAAAAAAACTACGGTTCTTGGGAAGACGGTGAGATATATATATAAATAGAGGTATATAAACAGACTAACAAAGTATACTGTTTAAATTCGAGGGATCTTTCTAAAACGGCGACATTCTCATGTATTTGAAAGCCGCAATAATCCGTGTAGTCGATAAATCAGTCTGTCGCGTTTTGAGTTAAAAAGAATAAGAATAATAAGTGTTTCGCATTATAACGACTTCTTTTGTCAGCTTTGGGATTAAAAACGACCTTAACCGTCAGATGCCTCAATTAGAGCCAGGAGATCGCTCACTTCGGCTGGTGGTGTTATACACTCATGTGTCATATAGCTTGAGGTAATAATGACGTTTTTGTTTAGCGGTAACTTGACCTTTGCGACTGTTAGGTTCTCTGAGCTTTGAGAAAAATGTTAATAAATTTTTTAGCATAAACTTGGCCTACCATTGTTTTTATATTATATGTGGATGCTGGGAACCCTTTGACTTCCGAGACCGTGACCCAGGGTCGATGAACCAGAACAATATCTTGGTCTTCCTTAGGATCACCGCGTTATTCTTGAGCAGATAAAACTTGGCATTGTACCTATAGGTATAAGATAACTTTGGTTAGCATTACAAGTTGGGGAATGGTATAATGGGATTAAACAGGCATTGGGAATGTAGAGGATTTGTTGTATCGGAATTTTTTTAATATTCCCGTCATTTATGGACCGATTTTAAATAGCGATCTTCTCGAATGTCTGTCTAATAGTATTATTGTGGATTCGGCTCTCTAATATACATATGTATTTTAGTAATCATTAGGTGATCAAAAGATGTTGATCTCTCCTGATTTGCCTACGATACAAGCACTCCGTGCATATTACGTTTGCTAAAGCCATAACATCTATGATCTTCGTCTCTAATAAACTTTAAATATTATTTCTTTTATATTTATATAATAACCTTGGGAAACTTCTGTTGGTGCTGAATAAATATTTTTTTTTTTCGGGTTTTAATTAGGATGGCGGTACATTAAGCACTCATATTGCCAGGTTATCACACGTTTGTCCAGAGAAAACCCCACCAACCGACCTATACCTTCATATAGGAAGTTGGAGCATCCGGACTTAATTTCATCAAAAGTATTAATGGTCTCCACCAGAAAAAAGTTTTAGAGTTTTAATGGTCTCCACCAGTAAATATTTGAGTTTAAATGGTCTCCACCAGGTTATATCGTGAGTATTTTATGGTCTCCACCAGTTAAATACATAACCTCACTCTGAGGTAAAACGAAAGCACGCGTTTAATGAAGACAACGCATAACTTAGAACAGTTATACGAAGTAGTGCATTAAATTAGTGCGGGGTGAGAAGTAATTCTGTCGAAAGCCCAGCAACAAGCACAAGCCTGACCGTCCTTAAGAAATAAAAACGATGACGCGAGAGTTGTTCCCCAACTCAGACCTGAATTACAACTCCTGAATAAATATGAAAACATTATTCGAAGTTTATAAAGTTAATAAATAAAAAAATTCCCCATTGTGCAGTGTTGTATACAAATACCCTACAAGAACAGTGACAGTCATTTGATAGGTCATTTGACTGGCACTACTGACGTATTATTTCTATCACAGCGTAAAGCAAAGTTTCTATCAGTTTCTTAAGGCAAATGGACAAAAGTGATGGAAACATTTGTGTACATGTGATTTTTCTTCTCCCTTGCACTTATGAATTCTATCGACTTTAAAACATATATTTGAGCTCCTCACTCTTTTGTTGTTTACTAATCAAGGATGACATAAATATTAGTCAGGATTGACTGATCATGCTTGATGGATATATCTATCACAGTTAACAAATTAAAAATGATGTATTTATCGGTCATTGTTGACTAATCATATGTGATGAATATATCCGTCAAATGTGACGGCTATACCAATTTATAATAAAACACAATTTATTAATATTTTAAGATATATATTTGTTAATTTTATTAATATAATAAGCATGTACATAAATTAACAATCATTTCACCATTTTACATACATTGTGGAAATTTGTGGAAATAAATTGTCTGTAAGAAATACATATAAATATCGAAATATAAAAATTAAAAGTAATCATGTTACTTACCATAGATTGATTAAACTCCGCAGTGTTTATCTTCAGCTACACTTCCTGCACTATTTTTAAATTCTGTTTATAATAATTCTCTTTATTTGCAATAATTTATAGACTTTGTAAATTTTTAAATTTTTCGCTTCTTAATCTTTGGCTTTTACAGAAATAATTTATAACGTCGAAAAATATAACTCTAAAACACAGTAACAGTCAAATGTAGTTGTTTCACTCTTTCATAAGCAAATGAAACCCTTTACCACACATTGGGTACATCAACAGTCATTTTACCGGTCATTTGACTGTCATTATTGATGGAATTATCCATTAACTATTTTTTTTTTACGCACATAAAGAAAACAACCCGACGAAAAATAAAACAAACCGTAACAGCTGTTTTATCAAAATAAACATTTTTTTTGGTGTGGTGAGTTATTTTTGTTTACAAATATGTGTTTCTGCACGTGGAAAAGACGCAAAAACTCGTTTTCATTATTTACATTTTCAATATGTGTTTATGCACGTGGAAAAAATTCAAAAAAATTGATTTTCATGATTTACATTAAAAAAAATATTTTTGATCAATTAAAATATGTGTATAAATGCGGAAAGGAACAAATCTGATAAAATATAAATATATTTGGGATTATATCGTTACAGAATGCCTTTTAATAAAAAACATTCAAAAAATGTTACTATGGTCATATATATAAAATGATATATAACTGCTATCGGACGATCTTGTGCACGATAAAAACCTATATAGAACTTTAAGTTGGAAGTGTAGAAATCGGATGGCATACATTTTTTTCCGGATTTCATCGTTCTAGGGTGTGTACTACAACAACAAACTTTTTTTTTACAAAAAATGTTACTATAGCCGTATATATAAAATGATATATAACTGCTATCGGACGATCTTGTGCACGATAAAAACCTATATAGAACTTTAAGTTGGAAGTGTAGAAATCGGATGGCATACATTTTTTTCCGGATTTCATCGTTCTAGGGTGTGTACTACAACAACAAACTTTTTTTTTTACAAAAAATGTTATTATGGCCGTATATATAAAATGATATATAAGTGCTATCGGACGATCTTGTGCACGACAAAAACCTATATAGAACTTTAAGTTGGAAGTGTAGAAATCGGATGGCATACATTTTTTTCCGGATTTCATCGTTCTAGGGTGTGTACTACAACAACAAACTTTTTTTTTACAAAAAATGTTACTATAGCCGTATATATAAAATGATATATAACTGCTATCGGACGATCTTGTGCACGATAAAAACCTATATAGAACTTTAAGTTGGAAGTGTAGAAATCGGATGGCATACATTTTTTTCCGGATTTCATCGTTCTAGGGTGTGTACTACAACAACAAACTTTTTTTTTTACAAAAAATGTTATTATGGCCGTATATATAAAATGATATATAACTGCTATCGGACGATCTTGTGCACGACAAAAACCTATATAGAACTTTAAGTTGGAAGTGTAGAAATCGGATGGCATACATTTTTTTCCGGATTTCATCGTTCTAGGGTGTGTACTACAACAACAAACTTTTTTTTTACAAAAAATGTTACTATAGCCGTATATATAAAACGATATATAACTGCTATCGGACGATCTTGTGCACGATAAAAACCTATATAGAACTTTAAGTTGGAAGTGTAGAAATCGGATGGCATACATCTTTTTCCGGATTTCATCGTTCTAGGGTGTGTACTACAACAACAAACTTTTTTTTTACAAAAAATGTTACTATAGCCGTATATATAAAATGATATATAACTGCTATCGGACGATCTTGTGCACGATAAAAACCTATATAGAACTTTAAGTTGGAAGTGTAGAAATCGGATGGCATACATTTTTTCCGGATTTCATCGTTCTAGGGTGTGTACTACAACAACAAACTTTTTTTTTTACAAAAAATGTTATTATGGCCGTATATATAAAATGATATATAAGTGCTATCGGACGATCTTGTGCACGATAAAAACCTATATAGAACTTTAAGTTGGAAGTGTAGAAATCGGATGGCATACATTTTTTTCCGGATTTCATCGTTCTAGGGTGTGTACTACAACAACAAACTTTTTTTTTACAAAAAATGTTATTATGGAAGTATATATAAATTGATATATAACTGCTATCGGACGATCTTGTGCACGATAAAAACCTATATAGAACTTTAAGTTGGAAGTGTAGAAATCGGATGACATACATTTTTTTCCGGTTTTCATCGTTCTAGGGTGTGTACTACAACAACAAACTTTTTTTACAAAAAATGTTACTATGGCCGTATATATAAAATGATATATAACTGCTATCGGACGATCTTGTGCATGATAAAAACCTATATAGAACTTTAAGTTGGAAGTGTAGAAATCAGATGACAAACATTTTTTTCCGGATTTCATCGTTCTAGGGTGTGTACTTCAACAACAAACTTTTTTTTTACAAAAAATGTTATTATGGAAGTATATATAAATTGATATACATATAACTGCTATCGGACGATCTTGTGCACGATAAAAACCTATATAGAACTTTAAGCTGGAAGTGTAGAAATCGAATGACATACATTTTTTTCCGGATTTCATCGTTCTAGGGTGTGTACTACAACAACAAACTTT